GAAACCCATTGTTTCAGTGAGCGAAAAGTTTATTTTTCTAAAATGTCTCGCTACTGTCTACAGCCGGTTCCAATTAATTGCATTTTCAGTTAGAGGGGTCTCAAAATTGCTCACTTTACTTTGAAAATTCTTAGTGGACCTTTTTTAAATCCACATGANCTGAACGGACTCCCCTTATCTCCGTTTTCCTGGCATACCCCTCAGACCATAGTTATTACAGGCTTATTTTGTATCACTAAAAAGCCTCCCCCCGCATTGCTATCTCACCTATTTGAGTGCTTCTGTGGTCCGCTTTTTTGTCGAACAAAGAACATATCCGAAAGACGCGAACATGATATGAACTTGGCAGCAAACTGCCAAATGGCTACGTTAAACTCACCTAAGCCTTCTGGATGATCAAGTTAGCTGGGAATAGGAGAAAGGTACACCTGTAAACGGTTTGCTTGGATGGTTCTTAACAAGTTCTCGTGTGTAGAAAACGCTGTAAAACACTGATATCGGTAGTACCGGTGGGTGTGGAAAATATATCAACATGGGACTGTTTGAAAAATTCTCTCCCGGTTTGACGAAAATTGTTTAAAAAAAACCACCCCGCTCCAAGTAGACTCTCATTAAACCAGTGCACACGACATAGGGTGCAATCTTCTCCTCTTCAAGCTTTTATGGTTTCCTCTGAAGGTAAATCCCCCATCGGGGGAAGGCTGCAACACCTATTCTTGGGCTAGCATACTTGGCTACTGTTTGATAACACGTTACAGTTTTTCTCACATCATGCTTAATTTTTTTCGTCAAATGACCGGTGGCATTAGATAAAGTCATTTTTTGCTTCTGAGGCTGCAGCATTATGTTTCTATGTCACCCTGATTCTAAACTGTGTACTCAAAGTTTGCAGTTTCGTGGCTGCACGGAGAATACGTCCTTTCCATTATTAACTTACCGGATGTGACAGATCATCCTTCTTTTATTTCCTGATGAGTAGACTTTAATCTGCGTGGACTTCATCCTAAAAATTGTTAGCGAATCACTATGCAACTACAAGAATTGAAATGAGGTACGCTGTTATTAGGGAAATTCAAATGAGTTCAAACATACCATATCAGGACCCTCCGCTACAGTGAACAAGGTTCAATGGAATCTCGGGCGACGGTGAATCTTATATGACGTGGGACCCTGTCCTGAAACCGCCAAGAAGTCATTGCTATGTTCAGTGTACTTTTTGTGGATTAACAGTATTATTCCATGACTTTCGCGTATGGCCCCCATTACTTTCATGCTTTCATAATATGGTTGCGAAACTCTGGGGAGTCCGGCTTGTGTTGAAGGATGAAATTTCCATTGGGTATTCTCAGATCTCTTCACATTACTAATAATTTATGAGTAGCTTAAAGAAAGTGCGGCTTCCGCCTGAGTGCAGCCTCCACCTGAGAAGTTGTTACTCCAGCAACCAGTCAACATTTGTGTCTATATGATGCGAATCTCGTAATTGGAGGATGAGTGCAACTAAATTCTATCCAGTGCAAGTCAGTCACACTGCTATTCAGCCGTCTGTGACCGAACGGTAAACTGTTCAAACTACCAGACGAGGGTTCGGGACCCTCTTGAGTTTAACGAGATGCGCACTGCTGATGATACCCAAGAAGTTGTGCAGTGCTTCTCGGCTCCTCAGCATAGTTTTGCCTCACTGACACGAGGAAATATTAATTGAAATACTTAGCATTTTTCTGTTATTGTTTAAAAGCAGGCCAGTATCAAAAACAAGTACGGTTAAGCCCTCAACAACCAAGAAATTAAACTTCTTGGGAACATAATTACTGAATCCACTGAAGTGCTGAGTACCCTGTGGCTTCTGACTTTGATCCACCGGCCCGCTCCCCAGTTGCTGATTTGGCATGCATCCATGTTCTATACGGGACGGAAACTGAAAAATACGTTCAGAGGGGACTAAAAACTATCCGCCTGGTCAGTGGATGGTGGTAGGACATACACGAGCACGGTAGACCTAGCCCAGCTTCTCAAAACCGTCGTCCCGGGCGTCAACAAAATTTCAAACCGGTCTAGCGCGGAATAAATTTGGGGATTTCTCCATCAGTTTGTCTATTCATGGAAGTGAAACTGACATAGCGGGATCCGTGGTTAGGTTTGTTTTACCATCTTATCCAGGAGCATAGTGGGCATGTCTGAGGTTTGGGCAGGAAATTAGTCGGCCTAGGAATCTCAGCGGAATATCAATGAACGCTGGCTCTCCAGGTGACAGATTTTTAGGTTCACATAATTGGCTTGTCTGATACCTGTCCACTGATGTTCAGACTACTTTTGGTTTCGAACAGTGGCTAAAGTTCCTGATGAGTCTGGTTCATTGAGAAGTTTTGTGCACAAGTAAAAACTGTTGAACCCCATGTCGTCAAATTTGACATGGAATGCTTGTGCAAATGTGCATAAGTTAAGAACTTGATGAATGCAACTTAAAACGAACGCTTGCGTCGTACTGCCATAGGAACGCTTTTTGTATGAATCGATGCGCGCAGTCGCTTCTTGAACCTTTATACGTGTTACGAAGACACCCAGAGCTGACCGAACCTCCTTAACAAATTGCGACATGTTGTTTGAACCCTGAGTTTCTCGTTTAGAGGACATCCTTATGGAATCCCAGTATTTTCACCTGACTCTCCAAACTTCTTGGGAGTCTGTTCATAGACGATACTTCGAAACCTATTCTCTATTCCCCAGATCCACTAGTCATCTGTTGTGGCGTGAGTAGTAACTAACGCTTGGAAATATGTCCTGCAAAAACTTTTTTCGGCCTCATTAAATTCACATTAACATGATAGTTGTCGAAACAAACATGGTGATCTTCACTGGAATTGGAGTGCGGCTCATGCTGTGTTATGTAGAGCTTGAGGTTTCGGGCTGATCTTCCAGGCCATCGTGGAGAACTATTACGGGGGATGTAAGTCACGTGGACCAGGGTTAATGGATAGAAATTCGATGAATTCAAAAACGCGTATTCTGCAATTCAACGTTTCAGAGCACATCTTCTCTCAGCGACAAATGATTAAGTGTTGGGCAAAGGGGGGGGGCTTTACTTCGACTGCAGCGGGATCACTGCCACCAGATTATCTCAACATGTTCAAGATGTAATCCGAATCAAGCTCTATTACAAGCGCTCAAGCCTTCTTCCAGATTCTTCCTTCAATTCGAGCTTATCACAACTACAGTTGTAGCCTTAAGTTCACGTGAAACTCACGATTTAGGCCAAGGGCCTAGGTATGAATGAGCAGGACGCTGAGTCATTTTCTTTTCCCAAAATGGAAATTTCAGTCAAATGGGCAACTGAAATTTAAATAGGCTCTTAGTGAAATACACTCATTTGAAAAAACATCGGTTTTTCGAGAGACTCACCTGGAAGCCAGCCGGATCTCCCGTTTGTGATGTTTTTTGGACTTGACTTCTTCCAAATACTTGGTACACAACGAATTGTATTTCGCACTACTTTTCCAGTTTGCAAGTAGCATGACTTCGAAAGCTGATTAGAACTCTGATGACAGCTGATGTTCATTGTGCTAAGCGTTACCGTAGCTTCACCGAACCATCGTAAAATTTCATGGAAGTACTTTTACTTCGAAAGAGAAGATCATTTTCACTGCCTTCATAATTAGGTGTTATTTGGAACTGGCATCAGATAAGCGCTTAACAGGCTTAGGTATTTTGCAAACATGCTGTGGCTGTAAGCGTCAAATCTGCATGAGAAACATAAAATCACTTGAAATTTTCCCCACCGTGAGCACCACCTCTGATTTACTGAGGAATTCAGGCTATATTCATTCAAAATAGGCGTTTTTTCAACCCAAGAGTACATCTGTGTTTTTACTACCTCTCTTCGTCTTTCGAAAAATGGCAGGGAGCAAGGTCGATATCGGTCAGGCATTTGATCTACCTCGTACTGAACCTAAGAAGGCTGGTATGGATGATGGCGATGATGATAATGATGATGGTGACTGCGCTGATGAGAACGCTGATGATGACGACGGTAATAGATCGAGGGATAATGCAACGAGGAAGGAGCTTTGGATGAAATTCTTATATGGGGGAGACGGCTGGTAAAATTGCAGAGGATGACGGCAGATAAAGGCTAACGATTTCGCGACGAGTACCTGACACGCAATCACAGCTTCAGTACAGCAAATTGTAGTTATCGTCCTCACCAAATACTTCAAGTTACTAAGTCAGTAGACTTAGGAATTAGACTTAGGGATTAGAGGGCATTTCAAAGAAACCGCTATTTCTACACAGCTACCAATGTGAGACCACGCACTAAATAGTATGACCGATTTGAAACAGATATGCAAATATGGGTGGCAGGTAGCAAAACTGTGATGGACTAAAGAGGGCTGAAACAGTAAGTTCTTTTATGTAAGCTTATTCCGAGAGGTTCATTAAGATGAATATTTTGAGAACGGCTCACCTATCCACCGACGATCATTCTTAGCCGAACCTGAGGGACTCATGCAAAGGCATAAAGGTTTCAAAAGCGTGCTTTTCGTGTTCAGCCCCGGATGACCAGGTCATATCAAACTGACGACAAATCACCATCCATTAGCAGAAATGTCTATGGCGTATGTTCCCACAGAGATGCCGCTTGCTTTCAGTTTGTTTATCAAAACAGTGCCGGTTTTGTGTGATCTTGATATAAGGAGTAAGCCATTTCGAAGATGATAGTTTGTGCAAGTATTTGTTATTCCATGGGCACTGGGTTCCTCCGAAACCTGGCAGAGATCGTCAATCCAAAGTGACGGCTCGAGAGCTGCCTCTCTTCAGAGGTCTCTTTCTGTGTCGATTATCTGTGGAGAGCTACTAACCACTGACGAATTCACTCTGGCGCATTTCATAGATTGGTTTGCTTGAGAAATCCACTGTACCCACCACAATTTACAGGTAGAATGCTAAACCTTGCTGCCTAACAGTTTTATGTTAGTTATGCACTGGGCACATAACAAAAGATCGTTTATTTCTTCAAAACACTGTGTCAGCTAATCAGCACGAATTTAGAAGAGTGTAAAACCCTTTCATGGTTTGATGACATCCAAGTCCTCTTCTTTGCCTAAAACGAGACAAGAAGATAGGTATTCAGGTCAAACTAACTACGGATATTTTTAAAACTAAGTTTAGGAAACACGTTCTAGAGTCACTGAAGTTTAATCATCCGTTTTTTCTTACGGAAAAAGCCGATTACTGGTAAATGAGACTCAAACGTTGTCAGGTTATCAGCAAACATTCACTGCCAAAGAAGTGTGAGAAAAAGAGGCTAAATTTAAATACCGGGAGTTAATTAAGAATGCGATGAGTTTGCAGAGTTTGGCTAGGGTGGTTGCCGAACCATATGAGGAACATGGAGTCGAGACTCTCAAGGTGGCCATTATGCTTTCCGTTGCTTTCCCGTTCGTTCACGCCGGAAAGACACGCTGCTGAGACAAAGTATGGCACAACTTCGTGACAGAATGACCCCCTGATAACGATATTTCAACTTCTAATGAAACATTCACTTTCAAAAAGCGTAAATCTGCGAAAGGACTAACCGTTAAGCATACACCCTGAGCTGTCAAGAGTTCCCTCACTCACGGAATGGACGGGCTTGAAATCTTTCATTCAGATCTGTCACTTCGAAAACCTTGCTGGGCAGTCAACAAGCATGGACCACTCCAATATTCTCTACTACATCACGGTCACAACGATAATGTGTACCAGTCATCAACAGGGAATTAATAACGGCCATTATGAATGAAGTCATCTTTCCGATTCATCTTCAACTGACTGTAGACATCAAATAAACCAGATTCAACCTTGTCCAATCAGAATCGAACGCTGCAGTATGACCGTGAAGACGTGGCATTGTCAATCTAGGGAGTGTTACAAGCGCAAGATTTGCGTACATCAGCTGGTCAGCTAAAATTTGGCTACGTGTTGGTGGTCTGTCAACCATGTGTAGATCAAGAATGCGGAAAACGCTTCTGCACACAAAAAGGTAGTGTGTGGACAGTGTGGAGAGCAACAGGGCACTCTGGGTCTAGTTATGCGCAGAGTCCAAATGGTGGCACAGTGTATCACTCCGTTCTCAGTGTCTGCCATCAGTCCCCTGGGCTAACCCGGACGAGATAGCCCAGGGGACCATGTTTTCAATGTTTCGCCGATCTACTGTGCATCCCATGTCAACATAAAGAGAGGAATATTGTTTATTAAGTGAACACTGTTAAGTATGAAACAAGTCATACAGCAATGTCACTAGTATACGGGAGAGTCAACATATAAGACCTCTTGACTAATAAGCAATGAGTAGTTCACAAAAAAACAACTTACGAATACCATCTTCTCTGGGAATCTCTTCAACTAATTTCTCTTCATCAAATAACACGTTTTGAACAAACTCATACGCCCAGGTGAATTCTTCAGCTTGCACAAGAACTAGCACCAACAGTAGTAACTTGACTGGAAACTGAAAATTAAGTCAGACAAAACATCAAATAACATCGGAAAATTGGAGTTTCACAACCTTCACAGTACGAGGAATCTAAAAAAGCATAGATTCCATAGAACGCCGCTTTTGCTTTTATTCTTTAGACTCCAGAAAACCGAAATCTACAGGCAACTGAACAGAAAATCACCCATTTGTCAAGTGTCGCTTGCCGGAAACGGTCAGTTGGCTTACTGTCGCAGAAAAACAAATGAAAACTGTTCAAAACAATACTAAGTGATCACCTAGAGTTTGTTATATCCGCTGATTCGCCAATCTGTTCTATCTGATTGTTAATCCGCTCCAGTGCCTGGTGCTGAAAAAAGACTCATAGAAGGGAACATGACAGCCATATTCCGAACAAGCGTGAGCGCGAGTGAGTGCCAAAATACAGCGGTCTCAAGCTGTTTATTGGAGGGACACTGTCTGAACTTGGTCCAATGCTGACGCACTCGGTCTGGCTTTGGTATGAGGCTGTGACGCGAGGCTGTGACAAATATACAGCTCAGCAGTTAGCTGCACCAACACAAGGACAGGTGAATCAACCAGTTGGTGAACCAAACTTTTTATCGAACCGAAAATTTCACTTGGGCGGAAAAATCGACCTCTTACTATTACTCTGAGGAACATGTGTGTACCGCAATCGTCGCCGCGCAGCAAACGAACAGTGAACATTGCTGTGTGATACAGGTGAGTGGATATCGTATTCCGAGACATGTCGTGGTCACTATAAGGTGTTTGGGTGTGGGTGTGTGCAGATGGCCTGAGACCAATCGCATTCACGAGCCCATTGTCGATGATTGATCATAATAGACCAGGCAGGTTGGTAATCACAACGCCATACCGGTGGATCAGGATGAACGAGAAGCGATGCTAGGGCGACATCCTTATGGACGGGCTAAAGTAAGGTATTGGAAAATCATGGTCGTCGGTTTGTTCGCTGAACAATCTGATTGCAAGCGTTTCACCACCAATCGAGGTGACAACATTAGTGCGTTGTTAGGGGGCGTAGTGGTGCTTAGCGATAGGTTGGTCGTTGGGCAAAATCAACCCGTTAACTAATCCCCACACCATTTTGGTGGTTTTAATACCCTGTTCCCCAGGGCCTAGTCAAGAACTGTATGGTAATAAAAAATCTCAGTTGCAATTACCCACTTGAGACCATGTTGAGGAATAAGCTTTCTCCGCACGGTTATTGTTTGACGGCTCTGATGTCCATGCTTAAGCTTTCGCTCGATAGGCCTCTCGGAATACCTCAGAGTATACCGTGCAGGAAGTCTAGTTCCTCGCACAAATATTCGCCTCAACAAACACGTTTCTATTTCTCAACGCCAGGTATTTAAATCGGATTCTTCATGTCCCAAAGGAACTAAACTGATATAATTAGTGTACTGTCCACTTCAAGTCTTTCTTTCATCTGGCAGACAACTTAGGATCCCATTGACAAAGGCGGGTCACTCATTTTTTTCATTCTCTACGGTAAATTTCACTAAACGATGGGTACTGTTAGATCATCCTGAACGTGAATTGAGCAGAGTGGCTTTCTCCATCTTCGCGTTACTTTGTAATCGTTGGCTGTTGTAGGTCTCTGCGTTTTTCATCTATAAACATGATTTGTACCAGTCACCTGATGATAATTCGAAAGTGATTGCTAACCTGTTGTATCTGTTGTTCTCAATAGATTCATGACTATATTCAGGACGCTCGTTTAAGCTAATTGAATTCCTATCTGTACACACTGCGCCCTATTTAATTTAACTTCTACGTTCCTTTTCAGCAAAATACTCCTTACCACGGCTATAGAGTGGTGTTCTGTTTCTGAACTAGTGAACTGACAGTACGATATATACGTCTTACTGAATTGCCAATTTATTGATTAGGTTAAATTCTGAAGTACTCAGATACTCAAGACTCACCATAGTTACGAGTTGAGACTATGCTGACTGCTCAGCGTTTATTTATATGGTGAACCTTCGTTGTTTAATTGCCTTCAAACCAATGTGCTCCTTCGGTGTAATGAGACCTAGGTTTACCAATAGCCTCGCAGCTATCGTTAGAGCAACATGAACTTTTAACTCCATCCCAAACTACAGGCTATACATCTGTAGGATTTATCGATTTTCAAATCAGTCAATAACTTGAGGGTGCTGTGTGCTTGCCTCCAAAGACTGGCGCCACTTATATTGACCACAAAAGACTGGTAGACTCAACCTGACACATGTTATCGTCTAGGCGTTAGGAGTTAGAAATCAGCTCAGCACTCTAATGCGAGTGTGCTCAAGCATCAATCTCTGATTGCGAGGAAACCCAAAGAAGTGGAAATAGTGTTACTCCGAATCTCGTGTAAAGAATCGAGGTGGACCAACAAAAGATCAGTTTATTATGTAGTTTTCCTGTGATAAGGTTTGGGACCAATAGGGCAGCAGGGGCGAAAATTAACCACTCAACTCTATCCATCACAGACTTTGTATTATTGATTGAATGCCTCAAAATTCTGATTGGTTGATCCTCGCCATCGGTATCTAGCTGACCAATCACTCTGCACTCACAAGGTCAGGCTTGAAACATCTAATCCGTGTACACGTCCCCTCCAGATCAGGCCCATAATGCATCCATTCATCCAACAGTGTTCTACATTCCGATAATAGTTATAACAGGAGTTTGCCGAACTCTAGTTGATGTACTTTCTCTCGTGGCTGACGGTAAACTTAGTAAAGTAAGCCTATCAACACGCAAACAAGCAGAGGGAAAATGACCGCCTTGGTGTGTTTTCAAACTGAGCTGAACCAAACGTTCCACCTATCTACGAAGAAAAATAGTGATAGTTGGAGTTATTTTTATAGGATTACGAAGATGGTGACGGCCTTCTATAGTTCGTGTTTTCATCTATTACAGACAGTATTCATCAACCGAGAAGGCTGCCCATCCAATGTGGCAAATTCACGGGGTATAAGAAGAATGGATTTCTTGGATATCGGAAAGACCGTCTGAATGTTGGTCCGATCCCTCCAACTTATCTGACACGTGTCCTGAAAATTGTGCCATTTCTTTTGCTTTCGTTGTCCACCAACTGTCTGATCAAGTGTATCATTAGTTGATTAACTGGAACAGTTCGTTTTACAGTTTACAGAGTACGATATATATCACTGATGAAACACACAAGTCGTATCTGGTCACATGTCAAAGCATCTTCCTGACTGAAGGTTGGTAAACAAACTACCGAACTACTCACAAGGTTGCTGAAAAGTCTTCGCGCTTCTTGGGGCTCATCAGGTAGGCATAGTCCCCGAGTTTCCGTCAATCTACTTGAACCCAAATTGGACTATTTTCGAGAAACACACTAATTTCCAAATCAATTTGGTTTTCACGGGAGACTCAAATGAATCTCAGTTGTAGAATATCATAAACCAGAGACACGTAACAAGTGAACATTCTCGAGCCCCTTCTTGAAGTTTCCTGAACTTCGTTTGGATGAAAACTAAAATGAACAGACGTTGCAAAGCGGTTTCATAATTTCCGCACTAACCTTCCATCAGGTGCGGGGACAGTGTTTGACGGAAGGCCAGACGCTACCTGCATGTCTTATCAGTAGTATACACGATTACACGAGTAAGTGTGTCATCATAACTTTCGCGTAAACATGGCACGGCGCTCTTCAAACGGGTTGCAGTCAATCCACATACCGCCACTTGCCAGTATAATCAACAATAACCCGAAGTGACTTGAAATTCCTTAACAGATTACAACAGTGGGGAATGAGAGCCAAAGTATCGAATATTCTACGAGACTCGAAAAAGTACACAATGAAACAGTACCACTGTGGCCGTGCGTTGTGCTTCCAGCATCAACCCAAAGACATTCGATGGAACTATTAAGAACCGTAAAATATCTCATCCGTTGATCGCAGCGCACTGGGACAACCACGGGGAACAGTTTTGTATAAGCCAAAAGACGTAGTAACAGAAGAAAATAAGAAAACGGTTTAATTTGGCGTGACCCGGTTGACCAAATTGCTGAACTAGTGAATGATCGTGATGTTTTCCATCCTTACCATCTTTTGAGGTGGAAAACATCTGAAAGGTGTCGTATATTTTGAACTCACCGGCAAATATCACGAACTACTGAAAGGAGTGCCGGAAATGCAACAGTACAACCATCGTGACGGATCGTATTATTAAAACTCACTCTAAGAGCCAAGCGGACGATGCTTTTGTTATCCTAAGAAGCACTGAACTAGAACCAATAAGCTGATTTATAAAGAGTAAAGACATCAACTAAAGAGTGAGAGAAAAAGTGGATTTTTGAATGTCCTTAGTCCTGGACTAACAGATATAAGAGTACAAAGTGAAGGCGACGTACACAGACGGAATTCTAGATTACTAAATCAGCCGTTCAAACTGACACAAACAGATCTGCATTCGCAAACTGTGCACTCAACCTGAGATACATTGCAACTTAACAAAATCGAAGAGGAAAGAAGATAAGCGCCTGTAAAATGTTTTCCAAAGAGACGTTCACCCAAGAGATTGTTGAGCGAACGGAGTTCAGCCAAAATGTGGGAGAGTACTGCCAAAATATGGTAGTGTAAACGTGATTCACAAAGCTACCAACACGCTGAGGTGAACACTATCAAAACCAAAAGGAAGGCTACTTACCACTGAGGGGTCTAAAATGAACTAAAAAAATCACTGCCAGGCTTGTGAACAACACGAAGTGATACACACGGGAAAGAAGCTATCAACCACAATCCACAAATATGAACTTGCTTCTGGAGGACACGATCAATTCTTACTAATCTACGCATACAAAGATTAGGAGTAAACAAATTCAAATAGAATACTGTCAAGTAAGAACAAGTCAAGACAAGTTGATGTAATGGGCGTGTGATATCTCATGGACGAAGCGCACTGAGATCGACCTTGGCCACGGAATTCTGTGTACTAGTGAGCTCCAGAAGCATAAAACTTTGGGACCTAAAAAAA